CTCACCCCAGTCAGAATGGGAGCCATCAAGAACACAAATGATAGTAAATGCTGGAGMGTTTATGGAGAAGAAGGAACAAGTTTACACTGTTGGTGGGACTTTAAATTTATATATCTGCTATGGAAACAGGATGGAGGTTTCTCAAAAGAGTAGGCCTGGAACCACCATGTGACTCATCTGTTCCCCTCCTCAGTATTTATTCTTAAGAACTAAAGGCACCATACTATATTGATACATGCATATTCATGTTTATAGCAGCAAATCATAATAGGCAAACTATGAAAAAATCCTAGGTATTCATCAACAGAATTAATGGACARAAAATGAGATCTGTAAACACAAATGAGTTTTCCTTTATTCAGCCATAAGGAAAGAGAGAAATTATATCATTTACAGGAAAATTGCTGGAACTTGAGAATATTATGTTAAGTGAAATAAGCCAAACTCACAAACAAGGGACATATGTTTTCTCTTATATGAGGAAACAAAAGAGTAAAAAGGAAATGAAAAGTCAGGTGGGCAAATCTCTTGAAAATTGAAGGAAGTAGAAGGGATCAGAGGAGGCAAGAGGAAGGAAGAGGGGAAAGACTGGGAAATGATGTTGGTCAAATTATATTGTTATATCATTTTCATGTACAAGTATGTAACAAAGTATCCCTCCATTGTGTATAATTATAAAGTACCAATTAAAAATTATAAAAATGGGAAATATAAAGCCTTATATAAACACCACAAAAATGTGAAAAAATGGATCTACACATCTGAAAAAATCTTGATGAAAATTTTAATATCATTTTTTCAGAAAAAAAGTCATTGATTTTTAATTGAGCCACTGAAGACCCCAAATAGCCAAGACAATCCCAAGCAAGAACAAATTTGTAGGCATAACAATTTATGACATCAAACCATATTATAAAGCAACTATAATCAATACACTACTGTACAGGCTGAAAACAGACACATTGGCTCCTGGAAGAGAATTGAAAGCCCAGACAGAAGCATATTCATTTATGGTCAATTGATTTTCAACAAAGGTACTAGGAACACCAAATGGGAAGGGAACAGTCTCTTCAACAAATAGTGCTGGGGAAAGTGGCTGTCCACTGAGAAGGAATGAAAGTAGACCCTATTTCCTACCACATGCAGAAGCTAAATGAAAATGGATTGAAGAGCTTAGAATAAGAACTGAGRAAAAGTTCCACAAGAGGTTCAGTAACAATTCATTTCAATATGATCCTGAAACCTTAGGCAAGAAAAGAAAAATAGACAAATGAATGGTATCAAACAAAACAGCTCTACACAAGAAAGGGAACTATTAGTGAGGTGAAGAAGCAACTCACAGAATGGAAGAAGATATTTGCAGACCATCCATCCAATAAGGGGTCAACATCCAAAACACATAAGGAGTTTGAACAACTCCACAGCAAGAAAATAAACAACCTTGTTTTAAAATCATCATAGAATCTAAATAGACATTTCTCAAACAATGCTACATGGTCAATAGTCACAGAAAAAAAATGTTAGGCAAGCATCACTAGACAAAATGAAAAGGTAAATTAAAACCAGAATACCATGTCTTAGATCTTAGATTTGCTTTAATCAAAAAGACAAGAAGAAAAGTGTTGGAAAGGATGGGGAGAAAAGCAGTAATCCAAAGKATATCTGCACTTTTATGTTCATTGCAGCATTGTTCACAGGAGCCAAGATGYGGAAACAACCTATGTTTCCATCAATGGATGAAAAAAGAAAATGTGGCATATGTATACAAAAGGGAATACTACTTAGCCTCACAAAAGAAGGATATCCTGTCATTTGCTACAAAAGGAATGATCCTGGAGGACACCGTATTAAGTGAAATAAAGTGGGCCCTGAAAGACAAATTCCATACAATCTCACTGTACATAGCATCCGAATGAGTCGAGGTCCTAGAAGTACAGAGAAAAATGATASGTACCAAGGTTAGGAGAGGGGCTTGAGAATAAAAACAATGGGGAGTTGTTGATCAGAGCATAAAATATATGATAGGAGAAAAAACGTTTGACAACAGTTCCACAGTAGGTTGACCAGAGTCAATAATAACAATAATGTTTGGGGTATTTCCAAAATAATTAAGAGTCAACTTCAAGTGCTTCACTGCAAAAAAGGACAGGTAATCAAGATGATGGGCACAAGAATTAATTTGTTTTAGGAATTCTATATTGTGTGTGTGTGTATTTACATAACATGTCAAAACCTCTCCTTGTACCCCCTAAATGTCTACAATTGTGCTCTGTTAATTAAAAATAAAGAAGAAGAAAGTATAATGAGATAGAATTACACATTTATTAGGATATCTATCATTTCCAAAGGGAAAAAGCTAATGTTGTCAAGAATATGGAGAAACTGAAAGCTTTGTTCATTCCTGGTGGGAATGTAAGATTCCTCAACCAACTTGAGAATGTAAGAACTATGGCCACGTGATATAGTTATTCTACTTCAAAATCCTCATCCAAATGAATTGCAGGCAGGGAACTAAAACTCCATACAGTCCAACAAAAAGAGTGAAGCTAGCATAAACTAGTAATAAAAATCCATCAATGTTAGTTCACAAGTTGGTGMAAATGTACMACACTAATGCAAGAGTGTAATAACAGAAAAAACTGTTGGTTTTGGTGAGCTCAGGGTGAATTGTGGAATCTCGATTTTCACTATATTTTTCTATGAACTAGAATGTAATAATTTCTGATTAATTAATCATTTAAACATAAAAATCAATGTTTTCCACAAAAGTAAAACAAGGCACTTTGTAAAGGGGAAATAAATTTGTTCCTGCTTATAGTTGGTTAGTGCATATGCTGTGATTCCTACCCATGTCTACTGGATTCCAAAATCCCCCTCCCTGCTGAGTATCACTTGGTCCATTACCACTTGAGTTAATTTACTGACAAAGATAAATAATTGAACATCATTGTCTTTCAATGAGGTGTTATTGGTTCGAGAACAGAGAACATGTGTAACCCTATAGGTTAACTCCCAGTCTGCTTTCCTAGAACCTTCTCCCTTGTCTTCAGCTCTTGAGCTCACAAGCATTGAATATGATTTCTCAGTATCTCTTGCAGGCATCCCTGTCCCTGTGACACAGTTCTGGCTAATACAATATTAACACAACTTCGGAGTCTTTTTATTTCCTTCTGAACCATTACTAAGCATTCCTATTTCCTCTCCTTACCTGCCTGAAACAGACACTGAGAAAGGGAGATGAAACAGCTCTCTTGGCACCAAAGGTGTAGAGTATCAGGAAGGAGCCTTATATGTTAAGCATGGCTGACTTGTAAGCATGGATCTTCCTGCATCATTCAGAGGCTAACCAGKGTTGGATGCTTATTCCATAGGCATTGTTTAAACCACTGCTTTAGTGTGTTCTGTAATTCACTGAGAATACCATTCAAACTGATACATGTACAAGAACAGTAATTTTTATATAAGAATTGCATTGAGCAAATGTGATCAGTTTCTCGTGGTGTTTAGGTAGACTTTAGTAGCATAAGCACTGGATGTACTAAAGATACTAGCTGGTTGAGTATTGGTAGTAGATGGCTAACCACAGATTGTCTTTTGCTGCTATACAAGGAGTTGATGGGTAAAAACTCTCCATCTCACTGCAGCCTCCCCCAGCTTTTTACTCTCACCCTATTGCCATGGTCACATATTAGTTACCATTTGTCATCTTACTTTAACCTTTGTTATTCAAGCAATGGAAAATATGTTTTATACATAAGAGCCTAATCAAAGTGGGACAGAAAAGACAGACTGAAGGCACCACATTGAAAGAAAATTGGCATTSTCATCAGAACCAGTAAATACACACTGTTCCAGAAACCCTGCCTCCATGGATTGTGTGGAGGACCAGATGTAGGACATGGATCAGGGCAGTAGTGAATAGCAGACTCGTGCATCTGGGTGGGAGCCCTTTGTGCTCTGTGGTCTGTAAGATTCCTGGCATTAACCTCATTGAAAGCTCCATTTTAGACTATAATCTTCCTGACTTCATCCAAAGTGGTTCGTGGTCTCCAAGGTTTTTAGACATTTATGCAGCTATGCAAAGTGGCTTTGTGAGGATTTAATCAATTCTAGAGGTTTCATTGTCATTAGTTATGTATGGAATTCACAATGCAAATTTCTGTCTTAATCCATTTAAWTTCTGTTTCCAGACATTTGATGTAATATATTACCTTCCCATTTAAATGCTGGCTAACATGTATGTATAGGTAATTTGAAGGAACTGGCAAAAAACGGAGATTTCAGCTATGTTATTTACTTTTCTAACAAGTTTTTATATTACTCTACAATTGTTTTGGTTAAAAGAATGGTTTGTAAGTAATAAAACATTAAACATAAACTGTCTTTCCTTACTGAGTTAGTTCTGTAATATATATGATACTGAGTTGCTTATTCTCTTCTATATATGTCTATCCATTTATCTCCTTTAAAAATTATTTTTGTCTCTCAAAACCTACACCTGAGAATATAAACTTAGTTTATATGTCCTTAATTAAATAAAGGTGAGAGTTCAATCTGACTGCTTCTAATGAATTATTCAATAAGACATAAAAATATTTCAAAATTAAAAGAGTCAAATCTTTGTGGTTTTAGACATATCTAAGAATTAATAATAAAAGCATTTGGTCCACTTTATGTAACTCCTGTTAGGCATTGCATTAAAATGAGTTATGTGTGGGTAAAGTGACAAAGATTGAAAAAAAATTCAACTAATGGCACTAAAAAGCAGTAATGTAATCAGATTGTGGGAAAAAAAGACAAAAAGACTTTCAGCACAAGAAGTTTTATTCACAGAAACTACAATAACAGAAAGAACATTTCCTTTCACATCAAATGAAAAAATCAAATAATACAGTCATTTCTCATATTCTAATAATCATGCAGCCAGAAAGAGATATCAGTAAAAATTTCATCAAGAATACATGTGAGCATCAGGTAAGATGTGCACAATTAGCTTCATCTTAGCAAAATTTAAGCATAAATCTTCTGGAACATTTACGTTGGCAACATTTCTCACTCAGTGAATCTTCATTGATCTGTCGCTTTTTTCGGGAATGAGTATTCAAGCTTAAGTATTCTAATTTTGAAAGGCTATTTTCTGCTTCCCCTTGTCTATTGTGAATAATATCCTTCAACTCTTCAGGACTAGGCTTTGAATCCTCTATTGCAGGTTCTTGTCGTTGTAGCTCTAGTGACAATGGTAGCCTCTCAGATGGTGTTGCCCTCAGCTGCTGTGGCAAATTAGGACTGATTTCCAACATCATATTGAAGGCATCTTTATCTTCATTGAGAGAGGATGGCATGATATCTATTAAGTTTAAAAAAAAATAAGTGGGAAGGGAGAGAAAATACTGATGTCAAGAATCATCAGGAAAACTGTAAATGTAAGAAGAGACAAAAACGAAGGCATTTCCTCAAWATACTTGAACAGTGAACAAGAAGCAACAAGTATCCTGCTATCTAAACAACCCGGTTTCCTTATATTTGAGTAGCTTAAAGTACTATAATCTTGTCAAAGTTCTGCTTTACTCCACTTGRTCCTCTGTCACCTCTTTCCTCATCATCCCCTCTTTGCTTTTATCATGATACTTTTCACCCTTTGACATTCATCTCTCATCTTTCTGATGTCATGCTGTTCATTGAACCACTAATTTAAACAAAAGAGGGATTTTTTTTTCCTTTGGTACCAGGGATTGCATCCAGAGGCACTTAACCACTAAACCACATCCCAACATCATATTGAAGGCACCTGCAGCTCACTGCAGCCTCCACCAGCTTTTTACTCTCACCCCATTGCCATGGTCACATATTAGTTTCTACTTGTCATCTTAATTTAACCTTTGTTGTTCAAGCAGTGGAAAATATATTTTATACATAAGAGCCTAATCAAAGTGGAAGAGAAAAGATGGATTGGAGGTACCACATTGAAAGAAAATTTGCATTGAGGCARAGTCTCATTAAATTGCTTAGGGCCTTGCTATGATACTCAGGCTGGCTTTGAACTGGTGATCCTCCTGCCTCAGCCTCCCTAGCTGCTGGGAGTACAACTGTGTGCCACTGCTCCATGCTGGAGTTTGATTTTTTATCATAGTAATTTTTCCATTACTAAAAAATTTCGACTTATGATAGTAACCCTTAAAGAGGACCATAATAACCTTAACCTATCCAATCTCATGGTGGCAAGCTACTGCTTCAGAATAAAGTTTAAAATGAGGAATTTCCAAGAGCTCTGATATAATTAGCTGAGGATATGTCTCTCACAAATCTCTTTAGCAATCACTTTTCCCCAGACTATTTACTCCAAGTCAATAGACTTTGATATTGAAAAGAGAAACAGGTTAAAAGAACACAAACAAAGCAAATACAAAGCAATCTCATCTTCCCTAGTTTGAATTAGTAAATTCCAAGATTCTGTGGTATTCTTTATAACTATTATACAAGAATTATGAAATGAATGGCATTATATAAATCTCTGACAATGTAGAAAATAACTTTAAATCATACTTTAAATCCCATAAAGAAAACTAAATGTGCAGGACTGCAGACTGTGGCCCCAGAGTAGAGCATGCTCTGCGGCACATTGGAACTGCGCTGTGACTGCCAGAGACTGCCCAGAGGATCGCTTGCAGCTACCACTGCTGCTTACGAAAAACAGGAAGATGTGGGACACACGGATTTGGAATTCATGTGAAAAACCGCTTTGGGGGTGTGAATGTGATTCCTGATGAAACTGCATTGGAATAATTTTCATAGTGTGTGTGTGTGTGTGTGTGTATGTGTGTGTGTTTTCTTTTTAAATTTTGCATTTGACTTAAAGTGTCATGAGTATATTTGTATATTGTAGGGTGGACCTAGCCACCTCCTTAATTTGGGTACTGTTGGATACGTTCTTGCTACTTTACTTCAGTGAATGCAACAAATGTGATGAGAAAAAGGAGAGAGGACTTCCTGCTAGGAATGTTCTACAGCCAGCATAAAAAGCTCATGAAGGTCCTGGAGAAATGGGGAAACCAGTTGTCATTCCTAAAGAGGATCAAGAAAAGATGAAAAAGATGTTTAAAATCAATCAGTTCAATTTAATGGCAAGTGAGATGATTGCACTCAACAGATCTTTCCCAGATGTTAGGTTAGAAGGGTGTAAAACAAAGGTGTATCCAGATAATCTTCCTACACAAGTGTGGTGATTGTTTTCCATAATGAGGCTTGGAGCACACTTCTGTGAACTGTCCATAGTGTCCTTAATAGCTCACCAAGCACATGATAGAAGATACTGTTCTAGTRAATGATACCAATGAAAGAGACTTCTTGAAAAGACCTCTAGAGAATTATGTGAAGAAACTAAAAGTGTGGGCTGGGGATATAGCCAGTTGGTAGAGTGCTTGCCTCATATGCACAAGGCCCTGGTTCAGTCCCTAGCACCACAAAAAATACAAAATAAATAAATAAAAGTGCCAGATCATGTAATTTGAATGGAACAGCATTCTGGATTGATCAGAGCTAGATTGAAAGGAGCTACRGTGTCCAAAGGCCAGGTAATCACCTTAGATGTTCATCACCAGTGCACAGTGGGGTGGTTGGAGACTCTCTTAGCAAGGATTAAACATGACAGGAGAACAGTGATATGTCCTATAATTGACGTGATCACTGATGATACTTTTGAATACATGGCAAGCTCTGATATGACCTATGGTGGATTCAACTGGAAGCTCAATTTTTGCTGGTATCCTGTTTCCCAGAGAGAAATGGACAGAAGGAAAGATGATTAGACTCTTCCTGGCAGATCACCTACAATGGCAGGAGGCCTTTTTCCAAAAGACAGAGATTACTGTCAGGAAATTGGAACATATGATGCTAGAATGCATATTTGGAGAGGAGGAAAAACTAGAAATTTCCTTTAAGATTTGGCAATGTGGAGGAACTTTGGAAATTGTCACTTGCTCACATGTTGAACATGTGTTTTGGAAAGCTACCCGACCCATACACATTTCCAGGAGGCACAGAGCAAATTATCAATAAAAATAACAAACAACTTGCAGAAGTATGGATGAATGAACTCAAAAATCTTTTCTATCTAATTTCTCCAGGTGTGACAAAGGTAGATTATGGGGATATATCTTCAAGACTTGGTCTAAGACACAAACTACAATATAAACCTTCTTTTTGGTACGTGGAGAATATTTACCCTGATTCTCAGATTCCACATTACTAATTTTCGTTGGGAGAGATATGAAATGTGGAAACAAATCAGTGTTTAGATAACATGGCTAGAAAAGAAAATGAAAAAGTTGGAATTTTTAATTTTCATGGTATGAGAGGCAATCAGGTTTTATCTTATACTGCCAATAAAGAAATTAGAACAGATGACTTTTGCTTGGATGTTTCCAAACTTAATGGCCCAGTTACCATGCTCAAATGCCACCACCTAAAAAGCAACCAGCTCCAGGAATAYGATCCAGTGAAATTAACCCTGCCGCATGTGAATAGTAATCTGTGCCTGGATAAAGCAACAGAAGAGGACAGCCAGGTGCCCAGCATTAGACTTCAATGGAAGCTSGTCCCAGCAGTGCCTTCTTCAAAATGTCACCCTTCCCGAAATATTCTGAGACCAAATTTTTTAGAAAAGAAAAAAATAAGGATTGAATGGACTACCTCAGCATGTGTTTCTGCCACATTCTTAAGTAGCAAAAAAGAAAAAGTGTTTTCCTTCTCTACAGGATGTAAGGTTTATCAGCCATTAAAACTCAGACTCCTCTAGCTTTTCACTTCCTGTCCAAGGATGTGAAACTGCATAGTAGTGAGACTCGCACACTGATGTTTACAAGATTGAAACAGTCTCTCATCAAGAATCATGGAAAAGAATATTCAGACAACGAAATAGTCAACACAATGTGCTTTCTAGAGAGCTGCATCTTTTATGGTTTGCTTGCACATCAGTAATTTCTGCTGGGTACTGTCAATGAAGAGATTATCAAGATTTTTTTTTTCCTGATTAGAACTGGTAGCCAGTATATTAATTATTGACATAAAAGCAAATTTAAAAGAACTAGAACCAGATTCAGAATCATTAAAATAACATTGAAAAATTATATTAAACAGGGTTTAAACAAAATTAAAACAGAACTATGAAAAGTACAATTTGGGGCTGGGGATATAGCTCAGTGGGTAGAGTGCTTGCCTAGCATGCACAAGGCCCTCAGTTCAATATCCAACAGAGAGAGAGAGAGAGAGAGAGAGAGAGAGAGAGAGAGAGAGAGAGAATGGTATCTAAATTCTATATAGATTTAATACCTCAGGAAAATAATACCTCAGAGAAAAATAACTGATTCCAATGACATACATTTTGTTTTCATCTGTGATAGTCATGGATGCTTTTATTTTCCTTGGTGCTGAAAACAAGCTGGGAGAAAAAGCTCTTTGACCATAGTTTTAATTTCTTTATATAATATTTTTGTTTGATTTGTGGGCTGTTGAAATTGTGATTTTTAATTGCCTTCTAAAAAATGGAGATTTGACATGATGCTTGGTCTCAACTGAACAAATTAGACATCTCAGTTGTTCTTGGGCCAACAGGCTGACAATCCTAGTCTTCTGTCTCTCCTTCCTCCCTGTTCTCTCTCATATTCTCTAGCGCTCTCTCTCTCTCTCTCTCTCTCTCTCTCTCTCTCTCTCTCACTCCTTACTCAGATGTGCTTCATTGTCAAGTGCATACTTAGATTAGATTATTGAATTGTAATGTTGATCTGCTGCTGTTTTTAAATACAATTTGACTGAAAATGTTCAATTGGCAGTTTTTAATAAGTTAGTCAAAGAAGTGAAGCTCTTGTTCCATATTAATAGTCCTGCATTCTTTCTTAAGTTCCATTTATGTTAAATTGGTTTTTTTCTCTGATTTTTAATATYAACAAATCACCTATTAATTAAAAGTTACATTTTTAATTTCCTAGAAAGAAAATCCCATTGCAACATTGTTTCTGATATATATTTTTTTCCTTCCTGTTTTGAAGATTATATTTAATGGCATTCTTTTCTTTAATTTTCAAAGACTCACTGCAGGTAGTGTTATTTCTAGTGCATAAGAATGTTTCTGAAAGTCACATCACTAACGATACTTGCCAAACTGAGCGTCCATGAAGTTTCTTATATCCTATTCAAGTTCATCAACATCAAGCACTGTAGATGTTTTAGGGTGAGGCTATGATACAGAATGCATACATTGTCCCCAGGAAATATGAAATGATGCAGGTGCTGGATGGAACTTTTTTCCTATTCCATGAGCTGTGTAATTCTATCTTCAGTAGGCCTACTGCTTAATAAAATCAAATGTCTAATCAATAAATCATTGTCATGCTCAAAAAAGAAAGAAAAGTAAATGTACTTATTTTGCACATTGATTCTGCATGAGGAGCACTTATGTATACCATATGCAAATGGTATCACAAATCTACTTGTGGTTTGTGATAAGTTACACACACCATATAAAATGTAAAACACTTAATTGTTGGTAATTGAGCTTGCTTTCTCTGGATTTAATAGAACCCTCTATGGGTTTTCACTGCTTTTTTAACTTGGCTTCCATTTAATCTTCCTAAATGCTTTAGAAATAATAAACATATTTTTTAAAAACCAATCCATATTTGAACTGCTCCTAGTTCTGAGTCTTGCTTTAAAAAAATTGTATTAGTTGCAATTTCTAAAACTAGAAAAAAACAATAAAATCTTCAGCTTTCCTGGTCTAAGAAGCAAGCTTCCCTTTTCCCTGGTGTCCTTTATGTTTTTTTTGTACTCATCGAGTCATTTTTGTTTCTCTTCCATCACCTCTGTCACACTTGAACTACGAGACCCAATTCAAAAGGTGGGGAGGCCAGGCTCCCACCACAAGGTACATTCAAAGGGAGTGGAGGTAATCTTCGTGGCATAGGCCACTGCCAGTTTTTGACAAGGAGGATAGTCACTAATTCTAAGACACGTTCGTTCTGTCTCACTTTTCAGGACCCCAGCAGAGGTCTCACCATGCTGCAATGTATCCTTTGGTACAGAAACTAGAAGATAACCAGCTCACCAGCTCACTTTTTGCCCCCTTTCCTTTGAATAGGAGATGCTTCACCAAGGAGCTAGGTTACCATCATGCCTGCCATCTGACCTACTCAGCTTTTCCTCTGGGGTCCAGGACTGTACCTATCTCCTGCTGGAAATTGTGCAGCATCACCTCTTCTGTGGCTTCCCCCATGTCCCCACGGTGTTGACATGGTACCAGGTGAAAAGAATACTAAGTATCTCTTAGATGAGGCTTTTTGCTATTCTTGAATTTCTCCTCCCTCTGGCAAGATTCCCTTCCAGGTTCTTTCAATAAAAGCAAGTTACAAAGGAAAGGTTCAAGCTGGGCAACAAACACCACTAGCAGGATGACATCTCAGACTTCCTGAGTATCCTTTGGATAGGTTGGCAGGCCCATAGCAACCAATGGGAAGTGATGGATCACTGGTGGCGGATGGGGGAAGCCTAGGCAGACCAAAGCTCTCACCTGCAGATCTCCGATGATGAGGATATCTCACTGGCCTGTTCCAGGTCGCATGGCCACAAATGTTGATGACTTCTCGGACTAATTGGCGACCACACATCTGAACAACCTCTTCCCACCATCCTGGTTGGGGTGCTGTGGAAACTTGGCTCAGCAGCAGCCAGATTCCTAGGAGGTGGATCAAGAACAGGTGAGACATCTGGGCCTTTTTTCTTGGCAGTGGCAGCCTTTCTCTAGAGAATGCAGCAGATCTCACCCACAGACCTGAGCCTGTGTGGCTTCCCTGGCTTCAGCCTGCTTTTCCTACCTGGCTCAACCAGGCTTTTATATTCTCTGGGCTCTTGCTCAGCTCTTGAGCCAATGGTCCCAGCTCCACCCTTTCCCCACCCACCTCCATGGAATTTACTCAGCTCTTGTTCACCCTCCCCATCTTTCCTCCATTACCCCATCCTTTTGCCCTGGGCCTTTTTACATTGAACTTTTCTTCTCTTTTCTTACCTTCAAACCATTTGGTGTACTAAAGTCATTCTCCATTTGCAGCCTTTCCTTTATATAGAGCAAGAAATGACTGTTACATTGAATTCCATCACCAAAAATAAAGTAGTATCTTCTTAGAACCCAAAGTTTTCCAGCAAGCATATTTGCCACACTATCTTCTAGCCTAAACAAGATAAGTTAGATAAAATAGTATAGAGTCTGGTATATCAACCCATAAAAGATATGATGCATTAATGGATAAATTGTTCACAGGAGAAAAAAAACTGGATCTTACTGTGAATCCTAGTTAAAACACACACACACAATAGGTTTGTACAGTCAAGTCTTAACTTTATAACAGACATTCTTCATGGTACTTGCCTTCTCCTCTGGGAGACATCTTGATTGTAAACAATATTGTAATGTGAATATTGTAATGTGAGATTATATTCTGTATTTTTACAGATTGGAGAAGGGAGAGAAAGAGGTGGGAGGTGGGGGTGGAGAATGAACAAACAAAAAAGAAATGAAGAAGAAATGGAATCCCACAATCTAAAAAAAATATTTTGGTAACATGTTTTAACACACACACACACAAAAATGTGCTTTTTTCTTACTGTAATCTATATTTGCTGCATTTGGTAAGAGTTGACTTTTTAGAACTTTATTTTAACTTTAAAAATATTCAACAGAGTTTCTGGTCATATGCTCATTAAACAACTCTGATAGATGTCCAGGGAACTTTTATGTGCAAATAGGTTTGTTTGTTTTTTCCAACAATTCATATGCTTGCATGCATAACCTACTCAGCTGTATTAGCTCAGTTACAATTTCAACAGGGCCCAATTAGCATTGGTCAAATGTGCACTGTACAATTATTAAGATCATACCTGATGAAAGCTGTGGAATGGTTAGAGGCATTGCTGTTTTAAAAGGGGGTTTCATGAAGACAAGCATTAAAGAGAATCTTCTCAAAATTGAAGTTCAAAGATATTTTAGGGGAACAGGGGTTAAGAGTTCTTGCAAGAATAATCCATTTTCAAATCTGTCTTCCAAAGGAATCACTCATTGCATAATATAATTTTGACTAATGTTTTAATTTTTAATGTGCATTTTTTAGAAGAGGTGCTTAACAGTCCATCTTGATTTGATATTTATATGGGTAAGAGAAGTGTCAAGTTTCAAGCTTCTACATGTGCTGTTTCCCCAGTACCATTTATTGAAGAGACTGGCTTTTTTTCAATGTGTGTTTTTGGCACTGTTATCAAGAATCAGATCTCCATAGGTGTAAGTGTTTATTTCCGGGATATCTATTCTATTCAGTTGGTCTATGTGTCTGTTTTCATGCAAGCACTGTGCTGTTTTGGTTACTGTGGTTTTGTAGTATGTCATAAAATCAGATACTGCAATGCCTCCAGCTTTGTTCTTTTTGTTCAAGATTGCTTTAGTTATTTGTGCTTCCATGTGAATTTTAGGATTGTGTTTTCTAGTTCTGTGAAGAATGCCATTGGTCTTCTGATGGAGATTGCATCAAATCTTAAATCATTTAGTGTAGTATGGACATTTTAACAATATTAATTCCTCTAGTCCATGAGCATGGGAGGACTTTCTACTTTTTTTTTTTGTATCTTCACTTTCTTTTGTCAGTATTTTGTAATTTTCATTGTAGAAGACTTTTGCTTCCTTAGATATAGTGATTCCTAGATTCTTTTAGTTTTGTTTTTGTATTTTAGTTGCTGACATAAATGGGGTAAATGTTTTCATGATTTCTCATCAGCAAATTTGTTACTGGTATATAAAAATACTACTGATTTTTGCATATTGATTTTTTATCCTTTACTGAAATTGTTTCACTTCTTTTAGTCTTTCAGTGGAGTCTTCAGGTTTTTCCTATACCTAGAATCATATCATCTACAAACATATAGTTTAACCTCCTGCCCTCCTAATCAAATTCCTTTAATTCTTTCTGTAGTCAAATTGCTCTGGCTAAATCTTCCAGTACTCTGTTGAGTAGTGAGAGTGGATATCCTTATATTTTTCTAGATCTTAAAGGAAAGGCTTGCAGATCTTCCCATTCACTCTATAGCTGTCTATGATTTTGTCACACACAGCCTTCCTTGTGTTGTCATACATTCTTTCTATACTTAATTTGTTCAGGGATGTTAGCATGAAGAGATGTTGAATTTTATCTAATGCATTTTCTGCCTCTGTTGAGATAAAATCTCAGTAACAGGCTGGCCTTGAATTTGTAATCCTCCTGCTCCAGCCTCCCAAGAAACTGGGATTATAGGCATGTGCCATCATACCTGGTTAAACAAATTTTAAGAATGAGTGTCCAGGGGCTGGGAATGTGGCTCAGGAGGTAGCACGCTCGCCTGGCATGCGTGCGGCCCGGGTTCGATCCTCAGCACCACATACCAACAAAGATGTTGTGTCCGCCGAGAACTAAAAAATAAATATTAAAAACTCTCTCTCTCTCTCTCTCTCTCTCTCTCTAAAAAAAAAAAAAAAAAGAATGAGTGTCCGTTCTTCTCAAACTATTCCAAAGAATTAAAACAAAGGGAAATCTTCCAAACTCATTCTACCAGACCAGCATCCTTCTGATATCAATAGGAGACAACACACACACACAAGAAAAGAACTATAGGCCAATATCTATGTTTATCAGAAATATTGGCTTATAGTTTTTGTATGTTCTGTCCTTGTCTCAACAAAATACTAACAAATCAAATCTAAAGGCCTATCAAAAATGTAACTCATCATTTCTAAAAGAGATTTATTGCAAGGATATAAAGATGTTTCAAATACATAAATTAGTATTAACTGAATCAACAGAATAAAGGAAAAAACTCATATGATCAGCTTTCACAAACCTTCCTTATCATATTTCAAATAGCCAATATCTCTAAACCATTGACTTGTATATATTCCACAGGAATTTCTTAACATTTTTTGAAAACTTCACCAAGCTACCTAGATTTCCAGTTCTTCCTAGGACAAGCTTTCATCCTGAATTATGTTCTCTTAACAGTAAAAAAAACACGCCTAGGCCAACTCAAGGTCAGGATCTATTCTGCCTGCACAGAATATCAATTTGCCCACAGAATTTTGCTGACTACAGATGAGAAGTACTCTAAAGAAAAAAAATAATAACATAAAATAAATTAACCAAGGTTAGCACTCCATCATTCAACCCCATGACACTATTAAACTAGCAGTTATGGACTAGAACTATCGTGCAAGCCTCAGAATTAGTGATGCCACTGAGTCCCTATCAGTGGAATATAGGTTTCCAGTTGCTTTTATTCTAGGCATAATGATTTGTGGTGAGCCAAATCAACTGTCATTAAAGTAGCTGCCAGAAGAACAAGTTAACAAAACAAATTAACAGGTCTGTAAGGACATCCCACAGCTAACCTTGGTATTTGGAGCTGAAATAGGAGGTTTAAATTCAACAAGTCGGTAACTGAAACTTGCCAATAAATCTTGATCTATCTACCACTGGTAGCACTTGAGTCAGCTCACTCCCTTTATGAAAACTGTTCTTCCTTGACTCCATTATTACTTTCTAGACCTGTCTCACTCCCCCAGCTCCTAACCACTCTAGGATTCCTGGTATACCTGGAGCCCAAGTATGCTCCAGTCTTCATAAACCACAGGGACTGACCCAAATTTTCCAGAAGAAAAAACAGTGGAGGTGCTAAATAGTCAGCCTTGAGGGAAATACTAAAAATGCTTTCTTCAAATTAGACAATTGGTGATATACATGATATTTCTGAAATCTTTTGTGGGCATCCACATGACCAAACTCTAGGGAGAACTACTTATCCTATTATAGAATAGACACATCCCAAGGCCAAAAGATACCACACTGCTAAATAAGACACTTTAATATTATTTTCTCAGGAAGAGTTTCTTCCGTACCTGGAATGGTGGAAGAGAAAAAATATCTAGGCTCTAGCTAGTATCAGTAGGTTAACACATTTGAACATGCATGTATTGAAACTGTTGAAGTCTATAAATTAAATTGCTAAGTTTATACAGTTCATACTTAGATTACATTGGTTGTAGATTATTTTTGCAATATGAGTCTGCACATTCCCCATCCTTTCTAACCTGTATCCTCCTTTTAAAAACTAAAACATTAATATGATTTTTCTAAATAGCACATCTGGTATTTGTGCATTCAAATATTTATAGAGAACACTCTATAAAACCAAACCAAACTATTCAAAACTATGCTAAGACTTATTTAACCAAAGTCACATTTCTTAAAAAGATGCCCAATTAACACAGTCTTGCTGTAATAATATTATGGGAAAAGCCAGGTAGTATAAGAAAGGAGTACAGAAAATGAAGTTTATGCCAAGAGTTTTCTTTTGTTATTGCACATTTATTCTACACATTTATTATGTTACACTTTTATTCAACACTGTAATAAATATCCCTTAAAACAAACAAACAAAAAACCCATTGCATTAATACAAAAGTCAACATGCTATCTAGACCAATTTGCTTATCCACTCTCTTGGCAGGTTAGCCTCTCCAGGGTAGGGTATTATCACAGAGTCTCTGGCATCACTTCAGGACAATTAGGTGATAACAAAGAAGATGAAGTTAAAAATGAAGCCTCTTTAATGATGCTACTTGAAACCTCCAGGAGAGTTTGCAATATAAGTGTCCAAGTCTTCTCCTTATTTACCCACTGTACTACCACACTAG